AACGTGGAAAGGAGAGACCTGTGTCTTTGTGGCCAGCGGGCGATCTGTAGAATGGCTTTGTGTGTGACATTCACTTGACTGAAAATAATGTAACTAAGGATGGGGATCACAGGAAATATACTGATTTTGGTTCCTTAATGATTCCTTTAACTATATCAAATGTACTATAACAATTCAGTGAGTGAATTGTTTGGTGAGTTCAAACCCATTATAAACCCATGAGTTCAGGAGTTTTTTGGCTGATTCGTTAAAAATAACTGGTTGAGTCATTCCCACCTACACCGGTTACACTGTGCTTGATGCATTTGATATAACGTGCAACCAGCGAGGACAACACAATACAAATGTGTTATCTAGTTATTGTTGTTGTATTATTTTGTATACACTCCTAAAAATAAACATTCTTTATTGTCATCTATGCCGAAGAACCATCCATAGAACCTTTCAATTGCACAAAAGGCTCTTTAGATGAATGGTTCTTTTAAGAACTGTTCACTGTAAGGTTCTTGGAGGAACCACTGTGAAAACCCTTTTGGAATCTTTATTTTTAAGAGTGCAGCTCAGGCTTTCTTTCCAATCATATTCAATTCAGACCGCAACCTCTCAACCAACTCTAGATGGAATCTATCGACATTCAAGAATCGTTAACGGAACCAAACATCTTGAAATTATAAAGTAAACATACTTGATTCCCAACCTTAGATGTGATGCCCCTGAGATAGTTTGGGGTAAAACAGTGCTTCATGTCAGATCATCTTACTAATGAGATGTCTTCATTGGGTTATTTCCCTCTCTTAATTTCTGTCCTTCATCTTTCTGTGTTCTCTTTTTTTTATCTCAATTTTGCTGTCGGTTCCCAAATTTCTCTTCTGCTATCCTCATTTTTTTTTCTTTTGACCTTTTTGGTGTGCTTTCTCTCCGCCTGGACCTCTCTTTCTCTCTCAGGACGTGGATAAGACACAGACACAAATCATGCGTCATCACACCAGTATCAGCGAGCTCAAGCGAAGCTTCATGGAGTCGGTGCCTGAGCCGAGGCCCAGCGAGTGGGACAAGCGTCTGTCCACTCACTCGCCCTTCCGCACCGCCAGCTTCAACGGCCAGCTGCAGCCCGACGTGAGTACTGGGGTTAAAAGTTATGCTTCACTGTTGAATTTAGAGCCTTTGTATGCCTTTTTGTTGAAGATAAAGACTGACGTCTTGATGATAGATTGCTGGTTTTATGAAATGGAGGTAACTTTGGCCATCTATTGGTGTTTAGTTGTGTAGTACGTGTGCCGAAAAACGAAGTTTCATTGACAGGGTCTCATGTCAATACAATGAGCACTTTTGGGGAAGAACTAATGATTGTTTTTTCCAAAGTTTGCCAGTTTAGTGGCATCAAATCTTTGGATATTCAGAGTTTGTTTGAGATAGTTGTGAGTAAATCAGGTATCAACAAACAAAAAGGTATATTATGCTTTCTTTTCTGAGTTATCTCAGTTTTAAACTTTTGGATGGATTTCAGTGCTGTTTTCAGTGACTGCAACATTTCTTTCTTCTGTGGAATACAAAGGAGAGTTGTGCTGGTTGCTCTTTTCCATGCAATTTGTCTCTGTGGGAAACAGTAGAAAGGATGCGACAGTGCCAAAAAGCAGTCTGTATGACACATGCAATACCACAAATCTTCTAAAGTCATACAAAAAGAAGTATAAATCTTCTAAAATTTCAAAAGTATAACATTTAAATTTCTTTAAACTTAATTTTGTTGTTGTTGCATTTGGTAAGGATTACAAGTTTTATTAAAGGATTCAATTAATGATATTTTTTCACTGATACAGAATGCATCTAGTTGCTCATTGACACATGTAGCATGTTATCTGAATAAGCAGTTATTTTATAAACTCTCAGTGTGTGTTTGTGTGTGTGTGTGTGTGTGTGTGTGTGTGTGTGTGTGTGTGTGTGTGTGTGTGTGTGTGGGCACTTGTGCACACAGGTGAAGACGCCTCCTCTCCTACCCATACACAGAGTAGCGGGGGGTATATCGGAGATAAACGTACTCTCATTTGGTCATTACTGCCAGGGCTGTGCAGCAACCGCACCTGAAAAGACTGACTTTTCTTTATGTAGATAAAGAATGACACAAGCAGAAGCGCAAATGGCCGCTGGACGCTATGCCCATGGCCCAGTCAGAGTAGGAGATCTCCTCTCTCTCTGAATCTGCTCACTGCCCGTGGCTTTTATAGACCCCCTGACCACGCCCTCTCCCAAATCCACACCCCTTTACTACTGCTGCTACTCTCTGAATGACTACCGCCGGCTTTCCTCTGCTTTGATCTGCCGATCACATGGCTGGATTACACTACATAATGTAGCTGCATGAATCTGTTAGTTCACTGAAAACCAAAGTAGGTCTAAAAGGAAAAAAGTAGTTAAAAAGCAAACAGGAAAAGCAAACATTAAGAAACTGACTCCTCCTCCTCTTCATTTCATTGTCTTTTCCCTCTTTTTTCCTCTTGTTCCTGTCCTTCACTGGTTGTCTGTCCTTTCCTTCCCCTTGTTTACTCTCCACCATCTCTCCTCGCAAAGTTTTGTCCTGGATCGCAGTCCTGTCCTCCTCCACTTTCATCCATAGCTCCATCTCCACCTCGATCCTCCTCCTCTCCACCAGCAGGAGTGTCTAGAAGCACCCAGAGAGGGGCGCGTTCGCTCGCCCCACGGCCCTCTTCTGCTGAGGCCTACTACGTCATGTACCAGTCTCAGACCTGAACGCACTAAACTGCCATATCACACACTCCTTCCAATTCAAAACGTAAAGTTTGAACTCATTCTCTCAAATTCTCTCAAGACAATATGCTCTTCTAGTTAAGATTTCACTTTTGAACAAAACTGTCCAGTGTCTTTTATGTTTATCCATAGTTTTTAAAAGCACATGTACAGTGTTGAACATCTCTGTTAACACTACAGATGGAAATTGTAAGGAATGGAAAGATTCTGGTTTTGATTGCATCTAAAAATTCTAGTTTCTTTATAATTCAATTAATGATTCATTTACAAATTATAAGGAATAATTCCCCATAATTGGCCTTAAATATATATTGAACAAAAATCTGAAACACATTTTTTAAAAAAAAATGAAAGTATGGTTTATTATAATCTCTTTCGCAAAACATTTTTTGTAACTACACAGCATGAATTAAAATCCACATCTCGGTTGAATTTAAAGATTCAGATGACAGAAGTAATGACTTGTTCAGTGATTAAGGCCCAATCCCAATTCTACCCCTTAGCCCTTCCGAGCGAACAAAAAGACACATAAATGTAAGCGTATTTGGCATTAATAAAGATTTTGTTTTATGTTACATTCAATCGTGAGTTCATATTTACGGTCATGTTACTCAAAGAAATGTTAGCAAAAAATCGCTGCTAACTAACGTCATATCATTACAGACATTACAGGCACGATAGTGCCACAACATATTTTCATGTCTGATCAGGGCGATAACCACCGTAGACATTGAGGGGGGCTAGTCCCCCCAATAATTAGAAATCGCTAAACCCTTTTCTCAAATATTGCCATTTCGAGAGAGAGATCGAGAGAGAGAGAGAGAGCGAGAGAGAGAGAGATCGAGAGAGAGAGAGAGAGCGAGAGAGAGAGAGAGAGAGAGAGAGTTGCAGAGTGTGTGCAGAGCAGGGGGACGCGAGGAACAGTATTAAGAACCGCTGCTTTAGAACATTGATTTTGAAACTTGTGAATCCAT